TTTTTTTGGTTATATTTTTATTTTAACTTAGTAGACACGCCTGAGGGCTGGTGGATAGTCCTGGCACTTCTATCCCAAAGTCGATTGTGCACACGTTCATGAGCCTAGAAGCAACAAAATCATGAATGACCTTGAACTGACTAACCACAGCTAGAATATCATCACTGACCTTTGATTGATCGAATAATCTTCATGTTGGCCTTGACGTTGTAACTTGTTTCCAATCTGCACAAGCGGTTGAATAGCAAATCGTCTACCGCAATTGCTACACAACGTTTAGGAACGGTCTGGGACACGAAAATTTTATTTATTTCGTGGATTGGCTTGTGGATGTGATGCAAAGGCGCTTAGCAGCATTGGCACCATGGAGTCATTTCCGAATTGACGGCTCATAGATACTATTTGAATACGAGGTAGATGTCAAGGCATAAGAAATAAATTGTTCTAACCAGATTTATGGAGCGTCTGGACGGCAATTTCAGGCACTGATTGCTTAAATACAACTGAGGAGAGTCGGGTAGGTATCCACGATAGAATGGTAATTTGTGCCTTTTCCGAAGGTAAAAGGCTTGCTTGAGTGTAAACCTACAACCAAAATGCGACCACCTATTATGAATGGCAGGACTGAGAGAAATCGCGGAACTGCGAGCCCTCTAACTGTTAAACAACTGTTGAGAGAGCCAACAGTAAAACAATTTTTTCAGACATATGCACCGGAAGTCGAGTTGGCTCGAGACAGGAAATCAGCACTAGAGGCGTTGCCAGAGGCAAAACTGGAAAATCGAGTCTGGACAGGTGCATAGCTTACACAACTGAGTTAGTCAAAGTTGTTAGCATCGAAGGTGACAGGAGTGGGTGTGGTTTGATCCTCTGCCAGAATATCAATGACGAGGTCGCGAATGTCAAAGAGGATGTTAGTCATTATCACGAGAACGAGGAGAAGTGCAAAAGTCCTGACGAAGACTGCCACATGGTAGATACGGCGTTCTTTTCAGTGGCTTTCATCGACTCGAGAGCCTGAGTATTGAATTTCGCCAGGATATTGAGATCTTCGTAGATCTCTTTGTTTTGAGGTGCCGTTAAAGTAAATGTGAAAAGAGCAATTTGTTAAAACCATTCCAGCGTAAACAGGTCTTGTCGCCTTCTTAATTTGACAAATGAAACAGTCAACCGCGTGGGCAATAAGTCTATCAGCCATGTCAGCATCTTAGGTATTGTGGCAAACAGCAACTTATTTGTCAGAGCAGAAAAAGGTCGACTTGGGTAACAGATCGTCTGCGCTTGTACCGCTCCTGGATCCACTGCATAGGGCATACTTTGTACCGAAATCAGTCATTTTTATGCTCTTAGCCAAGGTCAAAGGCTTTGAATCATGTATAGAGCTTTATGATCGAGTCGGTTATGAAACCTCCTGTATTATCAAGCATTGATGGTATTCAAATTGCATGACGAAGGGAAATAAACGGATTTGTTGGCCGAAAGTAATTTTTGTAAAACTCTGTACTGTACGTGCTTAGCAAGTGAGGTCTACTAGATGTAAGGCTTGTCATATCACCCTTAAATTTGGCACTTAAGGCTCCGCCATTATACTTCTCCTTGGCGGAATTGCCTTATGCCCATTCCAGTAGACTCTCGACCCTCCTAAAAGACTCAGGTCACTACAGCAACTTTTGCCTTAAATTACAAGAGATGGGCACTTTTCACGTAACGAAAGAAGGAAAACTCACCTCCTAGGCACTCAGATTAATGCCTAGCCATGGGACCAATCAACTCGGAGAGGCGTTCTAAAGGTCCTCATTAATAATGGGCTTAAAAAACAGGGCTAAACGTGAGTGGACTTCATCACCACACCATTCGGGCTGTAAATTAATACCAAGGAAGAGAGCTTTGGCCCATTAAAAAAGGTTGAGTATTCTTGGGAAATTCTTTAAGATGAATAAGAGAAAATGGCTTTAACAAATTAATTAATTGAAAGATGGAATTGAGGAGATTGAGTCGTTTGAATAGATGTCCCTGACCTTGTCTAGTCTAAATGACCTTGACGCTATCTCCCTTCTTGATGAGGAGGTTGGGTTCAATAAACACCTTAAACAAAGTGGCGTTATGAAATATGTTTAGGAACGTCTTTCCCACTTTTGTTTATACAAGTCCGCTAAAAATAATTGCAATTAGTAAACGCATTTTACCTAAAATAGCGTGTCAACTGACAATCCGACTGAATGAGTTCGTGGACCGGAAAGACAAACTAAGAAAACCTTCTTTGTAAAGGAATGGGGATTGAGTTCATGGATTATGTGGCAGTATAGGTAAGCATAATTATTTCTGCCTTTCAAGCAATCCGTGCTTCCAAATAACAAGTTTAGCTGATTAGCCCTTAAATATGACCTTTGAAGATGGAAGCTCAGACAAATGTATTTCATCTTTTCCATCCCGACATTTTGAAAGCAACAAACAATCCAAGTTACTGGACCTCGCTACCAACATTTCACGAGCATAAATGGTGAGGGATGTTGAGCCTTCAAGCCTATAGAAATCCCGGTGTGCCTTCATTGACCTCTATTTTTCCACCTTTGACGGTTTTTTACTTAAATAACAAAAAGTGTAGGTCAAACAAAGCAGGTTTCAGCTATTTAGCAAACGGGTCTCAACTATGGAACGCTTGAGCCAAAACTTAAACATTGCCCCTATTTGCCTTATGCAAGTAACTGAAAGCTACTGATCAACTTTATTTGAAGGCGTACATAAAATCTTCAATTTTCAATTTTGTACAATTCTGACTGGGCTATCATGATGTCGATAGTAAAAATGTTGGTTTATGAACGACATCAATGCAGCGTCCAACAAATCCGAATGAACGATAACTCGAAAGCATTAAAAATCATGGAGATTGAAGGGAAACAAAACCCCTTACCTTTTTCTGACCTGAAATCAAAGTGGATACCCTTAGCGATTGGCGAACTCTTAGCTCCAGCCTCGTTCCCTCCCCTCAAATATTACTATTTCCTGCAACAGTGCTTCATAATCGTGTTCTAGAGCTAAAACCTTTAGGTCTTTTTATTTTCGAAATTTATCTTGGCACTCAATAAGACATAAACTCATTTCACACCAAGCGCCTTCAGAATCTAATGTGTGGACTGCATCAATTAGGGAAAAAATTTGTTCCTGAGCCATTCTAAAAATGTTAGCACTGGGTTCTATCCCAAACCTGAACTAGTTATTAATGCATTTTTGAAACTAGCTGGAAGCTATTTCCCAAACAGTAAAATAATTCCTAAACTTATCTAAGGTACTTAAAAATCTGACTATTGTATCGGTCTATCAGAATTGGTTATCCTAATTTGACTCTTTTTCTCCCATAGAAGTCTGAAATTAAGAATACATATTAAAAGGAGCCCACTTTAAATTCACTGATCCAATTGCAAATGAAAAAATGGCCATCTCTGTCAAATACCTTTAAAATGCCCTTATCAACTAGTAGGCTTTAAGCTCCTCCCTCGGTCGGTGTGAGGAGAGGGCCTGTGGAGGGCATAAGGACATGGTTATGCAATGTGCGATTAAGAGAATGCGGAGACGAGTAACCTTAGCCCTAGCCCCCAATACTTCATCCTCACCCACATCATAGTGTAATACGATGGTGGTTTATCTCTTGGTACTGGTGAGGCGCCACTTTTGACTTTTGAATTTGCCTTCTTGTACTTCACTGGGTGAGCTGGCCTTCGGGCCATGCCAGTGGCCCAAGCACCTTCTCCATGCTAAATATATATTCTGCTCCAGTATTGTGTCTGCTTTCGTCTTCAGAGAAGTCTCAGAACACCACAATGGGCGCACTTCGTCTGCCCCTTTGCTCACCTTCCTATTTGCCTTAATTTGATTTACTCCACATCACCCATCCCTTCCGTCCCATATTGTTTTCCTTCCCAAATTGTTATCTTTAAAGGTTCTATAAATTGGTGCCAGCAGTCAAATCCTGATTCTTTGAATTACTTTAAAAGTTATAATAGAAATGGACTTTATTTCTACTACTTTGGCTACCATTAGGGTTTTCCTGTGGTGTTCAACAGAATTGAGAATCATAAAGTAGAAAGTATTCAAATAGGCACATTTTGACGTGGCGATTTTGGTCACAAGGTCTCAACAGAATGTAGAAAGATACTGTGCTACTTCATCATGTTGTGTTTCATCATTATTGCACTTATAGGCTACAGTGCGTCCAGTAACCACAATCCGCAACCATCGATAACGTTTATCCTTCCGGCACCAAAAGCATACTGTGAGGTAAAAGAGAGTATTTGCTTATCAAACTGACAAGGTCCTTTATAATTTTCTTAAGAAGAAGTAGCGGTTGAAGCAAACCATTTCATCATACCTTGTATTTTATTTAATTATAACCAACCGCTTAATTCATCATGATTGCTTTAAATGCACGTAAGCAAGTGCAAAAATTTTTGCAAACTTTGAAAGCGATTAAATATTAACAAATACAAAACTTGATGCTAAAAAGATACTTATTTACACCACCCCTGAAGCATTTAATATGTCCCTTAAGTAAGTCATATTTCAAAATCATCGTTCCAGCAAAAATTTTAAATATTTAAACTTAAACCTAGTTATATTTTTAAAAAAGCTGGCTAATTTTACCAAAATTTAATGAGGCAATTTAGTTTAAATGTGTTGCTTTACCAAAAGCTACGCGATGGGGCATTGGGCCGTCATCTACCGGTCGTTTAGAATTGTCTTCACTGGTGAGCTGGTTGGCGGTTTGCGCTAACTTTATCTATAATTTTATTCAGATCTTAATAAGCCATTGCCTTACCCACTTAGGTAAAAATGACGCAGAGATTGCTATCGCCATTCAAAAAGTTGCCACAGCAAATTCAGAACCTGTCAATTTTCCAGAAATTTCAGGATTTGGCAACTGGAAGGCAAACAGGAACTTTGGCCCGTCATTGCGTTTGTATAGCATCTTTTTAATTGTTGTATAGGCTTCTGTTTACGGAATAATGGAGCAACCTATTGCTTTGGCTTACGATCAAGATCTGTGTCTTTTTGCTGTAGCTTACACTCATGGTTACATTGAAGTGTATGCTTTTTCATTGCTAGAAATAATTTTCTTTAGATACGGAATGCCAGGACTTTCCTTTCCAGTCGACCATGTGGTTAAAGGCATAAAGTTTATGGAGTTCCTCCAAAATGAGGGGCGTCTTCTTTTGGTTACCTCATCCAGTCTTACCAGTCTTGAATTGAATGTAACTTCGGGTCACTGGGAAAAGAAGCATTCTGTCTTCCTCCCTCTCGCGTGAGTCATGCGTCCCTTATGCCAACAGTAATTATTTACACTAACTTATGCAAATCTGACTTGTTCTTTTCTATTCAGACCTGATGAAAGCATCACAGCTTTTGCAATCGGAAAGGGCGTCGTTTATGTTGGATCAAGCGCTGGGACCCTGCGACAGGTAGCCATCGAAAATGGGACCATGACAGTTGGGGATGATGATTTGACTTCCTTACCGTGTCTTCTCATCTTGAACAAGTAAGATCCCTTTGTTTATAACCTAATGCGCATTGATTAATTGAAAAATCTTTGGCTGATTTTGTAGTTGATTATGGTGAGTGATCTGCCCTTTGCGTCCCCTTATTTTGGTTATTGTTTGAAAGCTATTGAGGTTGGCTTTTACTTAAGCAATTAACGATTCCAGGCTGCCGGAAGACAAGCGCGAGGTTCTCAAACTGAACACACCCATAGTTTCAATCGAACTGCATCCGAATGGCGAGGGACTGCTTTTGGGGTACGCAGGCGGCACAGCCATCGTAGCTCAGCCGCAAGCCATCCCACTCACTCTACCTGTGCCATCAATCTCCACTGTGGAGAACCCCCGTGATGAAGCTGGGGAAAAGCCAGAGGAGGGTGAAGCTGAAAAGGGGCAGACACAACCATCTATTGAGAGTGTCGAGGCAGAAGCTGAGCCAGCTAAAAAAAGTGAGGGTGATACCGCACCGGAACCGACGTCGCCGAAGAAGAGCAAGACTGGGGAACGACATTCCACAGCCAACTTACAGGCTATCCGTGCTCAAGCTAGCAGGAAGTTCCGCACGCTTTCTAAGTCTATAAAGAGTAAGATTGAGCACACAGCGGAGGAGAAAGTTGAACATCCAGTTCTGCCTGTGCCTCCAAGCCCACGTGTGGTTCGTTTGCTTCCCTACACACAGGTTCTGTGTTGTGCCACATGGCGTATCACTACATCCGTGTTGGCGTCAGAATTAGCGGCCTCTCAGGAGGTCCTCATCGCTTATCATGATGGTGCCTATCTCACCTGGACCATTCCCAAGTGTGAGTCGGAGGTTTTTGATCCAGTGATTGCTGTGAACCAAGAAGTCGCTAGCATCCCCTACGGTAGGCTGAAGCTCTTCCTCACCCCTATTCTTTCACTCGATTAACACGATTTCTACTTATTTTTTCAGGACCCCTGCCCTGCGCTGCAATTCAGCGTATCATCGCAAGACCTTCTGCGAAGTGCGTGTGCCCATTCGTAATACGTAATTCTTTATCTGAAGACTCAACTTGATAGTGCTTCTGTTTTGTTCCAGTGGTGGTGTTATCACTGCATTTGTTGGAGGACTGCCTCGCGCCCAACATGCGCAGAAGCACACAATTAGCGTTCTGGGTGGAGTTGAGGAGCATGTTTGCTTCCAGTTTGGTTCACCTGTCCGAGACTTTGTTGTTCTGCCCAGTAAGCCGCAGAAGCCAGCGTGCAGAAATGAGGAGAATGAAGAATCCAGTAAGCAAAGTGGGTCGACTTCCTGATTGATTGATTGTCTAGTATAGACTGGTCTTCTTTTGGGTTTATATCATGATCTGGATGAGATTTTTGCAGATTACAACACCCGAATGCTAGGCAGAGTGGGGAACTGGGTGAACAGTGAATGTTGGAATGAATTTGCTTTTCTGTTCTCTCATCAACTTTTCTCTAATCGTCCAACCAACTTTGATCTTTAATAGACATGGGTTTATGAGAGTGCATCCCTTCATCACTGTTGCTCCCGTGGGGACGAAGTTAGCCTGTTTATTTGCTGGAACGGAACTGCATTTCCCATTTCGTTAGCTTTGTACATGATTTGTGGGCTAAACACAACAATATCTTTGTTTCACCTTGCTAATGTAGATCACTAAAGCCCATTTTCTTTAATATCCTTATTGTTTCTGACTGCTACGCGACAAAGAATACCACGTGGTTTGTCCAAATCGTGGATACCATTTAGCGTCAAAGGAGAATATACGGGAACAAAGAGAGCATCGGTCAATTTTAGAGAGTCTGTTGAATGTGTCTTATTCCAGTTTCCTTATGTTTTTTTTTGAGATGTGACATAACACTGAGGCCTAGAAATTGCTTGATTATAATTACTTTTAAAGTTGAGACATCCATTAACTGATAGAACGTAAACAGGTAGCTGAACATCCTTGTTTTATCATAACTACTCGAGGTGAATTGCCATCGAGTTCACTCTTCTGCGCCTTTAAATCTCATGGTTTTTTGGCCACTATAAGCCTATTTCCATGCAATGACTCGTCGTGTCATTGACTAGAGACGACACCGTTTCAACCTTTTCATGCTTTCCCTGCTGAATTTATTCTTTTCAGTTTAATAAAGGATGACAGTCACATCATTTGGACCTAGGCAGCGCTTTGTATCTTAACTAATTGGCACAACGCTCACCAATGAAGTGGCCACGTTTACATTAGGTATCTTCAAGACGTAGGCGTAAGGAACTGTTTCTGTCTGTGATTATGCTACCAGATGAGGTTTTTTAGTTTACATGATTTAATAGAAACAAAGTAATTTAGAGCTGCTTTATTCACCTACAGAGATTGAGGGGGACGAGGGGGAGAAATCTTATCAGCACATAACTGAGCCACCCAAACCAACTGACGCTGGCTACCTCCTCGTCCTGACGGACCGTGAACTCGTGGCCATCGATTTGACCCAACCCTCCTGGCCCGTCATCCCCTCGCCTTATCTCAAGCACCTTGACTGTACTGGCATCACCGCTGTTGCTCACATCTCTGTGAGTGTCTAGTTCCGACCTTCAATTTATACAACTTGGAACTTATTAATTTTTACGTATCTTCCTCCCCCAGATCCCAAAGAAACTCATGTCACGTCTGAAGGAGGCGTGTAATGCCAAGGGCTTCGATCACTGGCCTGTGATCGGTGGGCAGAAGACCGAGTCATGCGAGGCAGTTGTGGAGCATGCGGAGTTTCACGACCTGGTTGCAATCGCACACATGGATGCGGATGTCTCCCTGTGGCACGTGGGTCGTGGTGACTGCTTCGAGTCTCTCGGACGCATCCCCAGTCTTGCAATGATGCTCGACGCCGGGGAGTTGGGGTGCAATGTGGAGAATAAAGTATGTGTTGAGTGTGTTTGGTCTCCTAGCGAACGATTTCCGCTATGCATTTTTCACACATCTCCCAAACTGGCGCACCGGAAGTTGTTCTGACGGAATAATTATTAAGGAAGTAGTAATTTGCTTTGACTAAATTGGTTTGTATCCCCTCTCACCGCGTCCTGTGGAAAAAAATATAACGCCTCGATTTTCGTTACACTTCCGCGTGAGAATATTGCTTCCCTGTTTTCAACGCTGTGGATTTTGTGATGACTTATTTCAAGATCTTCACTTAGTATTCAGCGCTCAAAACGGCAAATTATCAGTTTATTTTTCTTGAATTCCAGGCTATGTGTACAGTTAATTCACAACACCTGGAAAGCCACCATTTATTATTTTGGAGGGCATTTAACTGGAAGATTATTGTTTAATACGTTTGGCTTTCCGACACTCATGTTCATCCTGTACGGGTTGAGGCAAGCGTAAGAGGTGTCTTAAAATGAAGCTCACAGACTTGCCAACATCTGAGTCACTTTGTTAGGCACTAGGGTTGAGGCCCCTTGGATTTTGATGATGGTGCGTCTTTGTCAGCCTTACGCGCGCCTTTTGGGTTTCCTAGATGGGACAGAACCTTTGCGATAGTTGCGTGTTACTACTGCTACGGGTCCACTGTGGCGTAGACAGCCCGTAATGTCAGCGAACGAACTTTCTGGCATTTGTAGCTGTGGCCAGCGGTCGCGCCCCAACTCATGGTTTAAGGTGGGATCCCTGGGCCTCCAAACGATTGTATCATTAAAGAAAAATGACCCAAGCTGATATAATGGAGAGTGGCAATGAACTGACGTCTATTTGTAGTAAAAGTGGGCGCATCCATCCTAACACGTGCCCTACCACGATCTCAGGGGGCGATTTACCTCCGCGTTTCAGTTACTAGATTGTTCTCTTTAATTGTGTTGCTTAAAGACAAAATATACATAATTTCCCTTAGAATGGAAGCATCTTGGACTTATTTTGCTTTAAGCCCGATTACTCTGCGACACGATCTTATGCAACCAGTTGTCACAATCTGATAAGGAACACGTGCCGTGTATCTGCGTACAGAGAAAACCGGAGCGTCTCATATGCGGCACTGGTAATGGGTGTGTTAAGCCATCCTTGAAGTAATAATTTCGCTTATTTTTCTTCTCCATCAACACTGGATTATTTTTGATGAATTGTCAGGGCAGAGACTGGGTGAATTAATCAAACGACCCTCGACAACCCGAGTCTTTTTGGCAAGGTCAATCATTCAGCTGAAGTCTGTCTCATCAAAAGACCAGTCATTCTTATGGGAAAAACACGTTGGATATGACCTGTGACTTATTTTCGTCTCTTGTCACTGGTAATTTTGATAGATTGCTTCAATCTACTATCAGTACGCCGTCGTTTTGCTTTTTAACACTATACACGTCCAAGTCGCCCATTTTTCACCCGATTCTGGAGTATTTTTCATATGCTAGCTGTTTATAAATTGGGTAAAGAATTTTTAGGTGCCAAGTGGGATTCCATTTTTTATTTTCTTTAATTTAGAAAGTTTAATACATGCCTAAATGGTGCACATTCGTTGTTCATTTTTGACATCTGTCGTGCTTTATAGTTAATTTCCAAATGGATCCATGTTCAAGTGATGAACCACACACTTAAGAGGATCTTATACAGGAGCTTAGCTATTTCCAGACGAGTTATATTCTTTAAAAAATATATGCATGCCAATCCTAAGAATTTGAGTCTTGATTGGTTGAGTTTATCCGACGTTCCGAAGTGATTTCATCTGTATACCGGGAAATTAGACAATTTTGAAGTATCTCAGCTACTTTCGCAAACAAAAAAATACGTGAGGCCACTTTTCCTCGACAATTTACTAGAATGAGGATAGGCATTTGACATCATGAATTAGGCCATAGTCAGAATTGTTCAAATCCTGTGAAAAATTGCTACCTGTATATTCATTCTTACGAAGCAGATAGGGTTCTTCTAATCATACTTTTTTCTGCAGTTTCCATTGACAGCCCCTTCTTATCTTTCGGCTTTGTCTCAGTGCTGTTGCGGGAGAGATACACTCGCTTCCATCTTCCTGCATTGTTTTTTGAGTCGTCCTTTTGTGTTTTAATGCTAAGAAGAAGTCATTTTAACAAATACGGACTTCTGCCGCAGGTTTAAGAGAGAGGGTAGGATGGACTGAGAAACTTGTGGCACTAGCGTTATAGCACTTTACTCCTTGTTGCATCATTTTGTTCGCCCTTTACGACGCTTAGTGAACATAAATTTTTATTGCAATCTTAAGAAAAAGTAGGATGGAAAAGGCCGTTCTCATTGATTTGGCTCATCAATGGGCTGATTTCTTCGTACAGCATTACTGCCTTTGTAAAGAGGATCTTCCTTTTAAATTTAAACTTGGGAAGGTTGTTTGCACTGATTATAAAGCTTCCAATTATGTGGTCCATTGTCTTTGTTTTTTTTTCGTAGCAGAACGAAGAGGAGGCCTGGCCTCCGTTCCGAAAAGTCGGTGATTGTGTCTGCGAAGCTCTCGGAGAAAGGGTCGTCGATGCTCGCTGTGCCGTTCGCACCCTCTCTTTTCAATTGGTTGATGAGGAGGTGCTTTTATTTGTCGGTGGAGAGGCTGGCAACTGCTCCATGTGGTCTTCGGCTAAACAGAAATCCCTTGAACCTGATGTCACCAGGATCTGTGTCGATCTTCTCGAGGGTCTGACTGACAAATTCAGCTGGGAGGGTCATGAGGCTTTCAAAGTGAGATTTTGAGCTAGTCTCTTCCATACTAAAATGACCAGTATGTACGATTGTGTGGTATTCAGCTCAAAAACGGACTTTTGACCATTCCAATAAAATGAAACGAACAAATTTTAAGAAATGGGGAATTGCGCTTATTTGTCGCATTTGTGCACCTATCTCAATGCTTAATTGATATTTGCAGAGCTTCGTTGTATAAATAATTTTAGTTGGCTTGTCTATCTTAAAGCAGTACATTTCATTTTGGCGTCGGTACTTTGGCATGCATTGCGCACTGTTGAAATGATTATGCTGTATTCACTGTTCCTGCAGAAAGACTGGTCTCTTGCCATTTCTCTCCCGCTTATACGTCAATTGTACATTCCACGGGCTGGTTGAATGTTGGCAATGCCGACTAACTTATGTGACGCCTGAGATCCTCACAGACGTATGGCTAGCCGTATTTAGAACCATTACACTCTTCATGCAAATGTCAGAATGTCGAGTGGATGAGTGTACACTTTGGACGCATTGCGCTCCAAATCCTTTATGGGTAATTGCGGCTTTTGCGCCCTAGTGGGTAAGATACTCCTTTTATCAAAAAAATGCTGTTGGGTGCACCCACTCTGCTATTGTAATGGTGTCTGGACTGACCCACGATGTGTGCGCCAAGGGCTAGTAAAAGGATGCGTGAAGGAGCTCCTAATTAATTGAAATATGGCACGCGATGGGACTCCCATCATCGCCAAGTGCACTGAAAGCGATAAGTTTTATGTACATTGAGACTTGAAGATTGTTGCCTCGTCGATTTTACTGGAGTTCATTTACTGCGTCCTTTGCCGATATAAACGCCTTGATTGGGTTTATCGTATGGGTATTGCTAAAGTCTGAAAAAGTAGGGGCCATCTCAACCGTTTTTTGAAAAAAAGTCACTTTTTGGAATTCCATAAATGCGTACTGAGGGAATGGCTAATATTTCAAACTGCGTCTTCATGCTACACGTTGCTGATCATTCACATAGCTGTTAGCCATTCAGGGGTAGCGTCGTTTGTCTACTAATTTTTGCGACTTTCTTATTATTAAAAAAAACCTGTTTCGGATGGAATGACATCACAGTGAGGCAATGTGAATTTCGTGTTCAGTTCGATTTAAAGCAGTGGGTTCTCTCCTAATGTCGTTTCCCTTGTATCTCGTCTTACAAATGTGCGATCTAACTAACGGTTTGAAAATGGGAGACATTAACTTTTGTTTCGCTTTACATCAGCCTATTGAAGGCGCCTTCAAGCCCCACCTCACATCCACTCCAGCATTCGGTCTTTGCGAGCTGATCCAGTTTAACCCACCCTCAGCGATAACTGCCGTGACATTTGAGCCCCATTGGGAGGCACTGGCAATTGGTTCTGCGCATGGCTTCGCCCTCATCGATCTCAAATCTCATGCCGTAGTATACAAACATCTTACGTATGGGCTCCAAGGCACCACTGAAACCTCTGTGCCGTCTGTTGCTCGTAAGTTGGTCTTTACCCCTGAGAAGGAGACACGCCCTCCTATAGTGGTACAACTAATGTGAGTATCTTTGCCTTGAATGAAGCTCTATCCGAGACCTAAGTTCAATTAAGCAATAGAAATCCCTAGATTGACTTATTTCTCGTTACGTCTCGTCTTTTTTGTGCTATCTAGCTATTTGAGTGGGTTATTCGTGCCATAGCGGAGAATATTGGACCTTAGATTTTCGCTCTTTTGACATTCAATAGGTATATTGCACAAGGCTAAATTCAGACCCCTTAGGTGTTGCTTCATTACTATTCATGATCATTGAGTATATGGCCAGAGTGAATTGGAAACTTGCTACACCGCTCAACAAGACAGCAACTAAAAGACTGATCTTTGTTTTATTTTGTTGAGCAGGTGGGGCTGCCACCAAAATTGTGGCCGGCGGCCGTCATTTGAAGGCAACGCTGCGCCAATCTTTTCGTAAAATTCGGAAGAGCCGTTCCCGATCGGCTGCATCAGTAAGTGAGGAAGCTGGTGAAGAGAAAAAAGTTTCTGCCGCTACTGAAACGGCTACTGAAGCAGCACCTGTAAAAGGTACTTCCTTGTCTTCAGATTTAGAACCTACATCTCTGAACGCTTGTCATACTTTGAGGTTTCATTTTTTTTTTCCTTACCTAACCAGCCGAGGAAGTTGGAGCTGCAGCTTCGGGTGTTGTGGACGAAACTCTAGACGCCGCAGTGGAAACCGATGAAACTGCAAAACCAGGAGGTAGTTCAGAGGAAGCACCTACCACGAAATCGGTGGTTGTAATTGAGGAAAAGGACGCGGAACCTTCCACATGTCAGCAACTGAAGCCTAACGACACGACTTCCGGTGTCTCCGCACTCATTCTGGCGGATACCTACGTCATTCCGGGTGTCGTAGCGGCACCCAAAGAGAATCGTCCCGCCAGCTCACCTCCACGTACAGCTGCGCTGATTGTCGGCACGCAAAATGGCGCACTGATTATCCACACCCTCTCCTGGCCAGCTGAGGATGCCTTAATCGAGGTAAAACCAATCAAGGCCGTTTTCTTCCGACACGGCGCTGCGGTTCTTGCAGCCTGCGTTATTGATGCTAAAGCTCACTCCTCTCCTGTTCTCAGTGAGAAATCTCGGTAGGAAAGTAACTTTAACGGTCTCTTGTCAAAATACCCGTTATTTACTTCCCGCTTTTCCGTAAAGCTCCGTGCCTGAAGTGATTCCCGAATCACCAGAACCGGTTAAACAAGAAGCGGAATCCACCAAACACACTAAGGGTGAAGAGAATGGATCAAAGCCTGGGCCCATGGTAGCGGTGGAGACTGCGGTGTTGGAAGAAGTGGAGCAGATGAAGTCTGTGTTAACGTCAAGTCACGAGCTTCTGGTTTGCACAGAGGAGCAAGTTCGTGTGATCGCATTGCCCTCACTGAGAACAAAGCACAAGTACCACTTCTGGGAAAAAACTGCCACAGGTATCCATGGTACTTTTAAACATACTCTCATTCGTCGTCGTAAGTCTGAACCTTCTACAACCGCCACAACTTCGGACGATGTCGCTGTATCTGCAGCTCAAGAAAACACTGAGACTAAGGTTAGTGTTTGTCAGTCTTGGGATAGCAGAGTGCTTAATTCTGACCGCTTAGTCTCTCCATTTTTTCAGGAGACAGATGCCTCTGTAGTTGCTCCAGTTGCAATTTCAGAACCTGATTCTATAGAACAAGGGGAGAAGTCAGAAGAGCTCGTTGCTGCAACAAATTCAGCAGCACCGTGCGTGTCGTTGCGTCGGGTAGTTGCGTTTGGTCTTCAACAATTTCCTCAACCTTCCAGCGCCATGGTGGAGGAATGCCACGCTGTTGTGGCTTTAAGGAATGGTCGTCTTCATGTGCTTACTATTCCTGGGCTTCGCAGAGTTCTCAAAGGTAGTTCGATGCCTAGATTTTTTAATGAGTATTTTGGTGGGTATGTTGCAGCAGGATAGGCTACCTACAATCGCCTGATGTAGAGAAAGAGTAAAAATAAGTATCCACTTTATATAATCCCCCTTGCTTTGAGATTCGATTCCAGTGCTACCGATTTTTTATACTTTCGTTCTAGTAATCAAAGCGGTATGCGGGTGTACTGAGACCTCTCCTAAAGCAGAAAAGGACATGATGTAAAGTTTGGTTGCAGTGAAAGAGGTCTTATTTTTGTTAGTAGTGCCATATCTTGGTCGTCATGCTTGATGCTGGGCAGATCACATCAAAAGCAATTCTGCAGAGGGATAGAGTCAGCTATATTTCAATAACACAACGGTTTAAGAACCAGTGGACTTGGTGGCGAGTTAAGACATTGTAAGGCAAATTGTAATGCCGCCTCATTACTCAATTCTTCCGATTTTTTTCTCTTCTCTGTAGCCACGTTTTGCGACCACCCAGAGTATTGTAGCACAAAACCGATGCCTACTCAGGGCTTCACCAATGTCTGTGTCTCGAACTCCGCTAATCTGACCTTCTGGCCGTTTGCTGGTTGTATGCTGGTGGCAAATGAAATCTCCTACGCATTACCATGCCGACTGGCGTCACTGGTTGGTGTGACCGGTCTCAGAGCTACGGGCGAAGCTGCCTATTGTGTGTGTTTGCCTGAATGGGCTAGACCCAAAACCCCACCAACACCTGTCACTCCCAGCGTTGCCTCTGCGGCACCAGAAGACCCCGGTTCTGCTTTTAATTATATTGAGGTGAGTGTTCGGTGTGCCCCTTGGAGTTTGCAATATCCCAGCTTGGGATATTGGTTTGGCGGATTTATAAAGCACATTTAAGTCAGACCGGGACGGGGAACTTCTATTTAGACAAACATTCCTTGGTTACATCACCAATTTTGATCCTAATTTTGTTTTTTCTTGAAACCTTTTTCTGCTGCTGTTTTCTTGATTAGATTTATTATTTCTGAATTCAGTGCATCCAACTCCCCAATTTCGAGGTCCCATTATTGGTAGAACGCTGCCCATACCAAAATAACCCCTAAGACATCGAAAACCCTTAATTTCGTTTCCAGTTACGATTCCCGGCTTTTTTAATCTTCTCAGAATGGCCATGACAAGACTGGAAAGGGTGGGAAGACTAGAGGATCTGCGACAGATGGAACAATGGAGGCAATGAAGGGTACTATTGCTGATCCCATGGAATCTTCTGACACGGCTAAGGAGGTGGACACCTTCACAAAGGATATCACAAAGGGAATTTTGACTGAGTAAGCCACTGGACTTAGTTCCGTTTTTACCCTGGAAATAACTTTATGAGACTTAGCGTCTGATTAGATTAAAATTTCTCTCCGCGATTTGGAGAGTTTAGAAAGTCCGGCCAATTAATGCCCTCATGGCTTGATTGACATGTGATAAGCTAACAAAAAGATTATGTAAATTTTGAGGGGATTCCTGAAAAAGTCACCTTCACCAGCGTGTATATTTTTAATAGATGAATTCAACTTTTTCTCCGTTTTACTAATTTCTAGGAGCTTTGAAGCGTTTAAACAATTTGTAGCTATCTATTCTTTTAGCTTCTTTGCTAAAAGTGACTACGGCATGCAGTTAGTTTTATTGCTTTTGAATCGCGGCAATTAATAGTTGTCAGTCTGCCCTATTGCGAAAAATTCTCTGCGCGACATTCTTCCACAACTTGTGCTACTTTTTCATGGTGTACATAGGTTCACAGCATCACACGCTGGTCGAGTTTTGGTGGTATTTTTCTCACATTCACATTTTTTCAATGTTGAAGTTTAGTTGTCTCTAAACGGAGCTGTTTTTAACTAAATAACTATTTACCTAAGCCTGGAACAGTAGTGGAAGATGGTAGAGAGGCGTTTTACTTTATACACGTTGTCTTTCTATAGGAAGGCGAATGGGTAAACAAACAGGGAATTGAATGCCATGTGCTTTTTTTCGGTTTCCAGTGGCAGTGGTACTGTGACAGTAAAGACGACTGAGAGTTCTCTGGAGAAACACACCGTTATTGAAGGTGGCAACGTCTTGACAACCGTCCGCGAGACCCAACTTGTCGATGGCGAGATTGTCAAGGATGACATCGTCCAAGTAAAGTCAGATGTCGACGAAAGTGCCCCTGCCACAGTTGGCACTGGAGGTTAGTGAAGTTTGGTACAAAATTTGTAATGGATGCCTCGACCCGTTCTGATAGAAATGTGCTCGTTTCAATTCCTCGATCAGGCTTTACGCAGGTGATCGCCGAAACCGATGTAATTTCATTGTATTGTGTCCTGACGCCCTTTCACCTCATTGTGGCGGTAAAGTTCACCTAACTAGCTCACTCATTTTGTAGAATTCATAACACCTGTCAGAATTAACTAAAATGAAATGATATAGAGCATAAACTCAGGCTTGATAGTTGAGCAAAGCGAGTAGCCGAAACTTATATCACTTGCCCTTTCAGTGACTGGTTAACAGGATTCTGGACGTACAACGAGTCTCCCTCTCTCACCATTTCTCTGTATTTGTGTCCGCTTTTCGTATTTCCATGTACGCACACATCTGCTTTCGGTTTTTTTCACGCTGCTTTTGCAATTGTGACGATTTTGACCACTTGTCGTCGCTTCTCTTTTCTTTTTCCTCCCTCCCTTCTTCATAATTTCTTTGCCTCATCTTTCCTCATCCTTTTCCCGTCACCCTTTCTCTTCCCACCATAACAGATCATAATTTTTCGACACCGGCGAACGGGACAACGGTTGCCGCAATTTTGATTTCATTGACCACCACCGCCACTCGTTTTCCCATTTTTCACCCCTCTCCATCCCGGCTATCCGCACAAAACAGCAAATGGGCTCTTATAAGCAATTGTTTATTTATTTTTGGTTTTCTTAGACTGCGATGCTGTCCTCTCCCCTCTTCTCTTCTCTAATTTTCTAGAGATTCATAGTTTTGTGATGGAGTGGGTTTGGAAAGGAGATGACTTAAAGTAGTTGATGTTGGATGTAACTTACAAGGTCTATTTTTATTGATGGTTTAAATGATTTAAAAATCGGTAAATGCCTTCGTTACCCTTGTCTTTAAATGAAGGAGACATCTTTTAAGTTTAGGACTGATGATCTACGTCGCCTGTTTGGATATTGGTGAAGCAACGAAGTTTGTAATGGTATGGTGCTAGGGAAACGGTTCCTTCTCCGTTGACGAGTAAGGAGACAAAGCGTGGAGTGGATCAGATGAAGAAAAGGCATTTCGTTGTGGGTGTACATGCGTCGAGAGCAAAAATTGTCTTCACTGGTATGTGCACGGTGTGTGGAGGCTGGGCTCTCTTAGGTTGGCATACGAGTGAGTTGAAGTGATCACGGCTGGTCGCCTCGACGCAGTAAATGAGGGGCTCTCCGAACATCCAGTCATTCGTGGATGTAACTTTTATGGGTAAAAAATTTCGGAGCAGCTTAATGGAAGTGAAAACAGGGTAAGTACGAGTGACGAAGACGTTGACTAGGACGAACGCTTAAGCATTGGATGGTTACCGGTGTTCGACTCAAGCTACACTGTAGCACACAGCAAGGCAATTGAAGAAGTAACTTTTATTCTGGTTGTCTTTCAGTACTTCCAGAAGCCTTCTCTTCGTACCTGCCAGGAAAGTGTAACGGAATTTGACATATTTCTGAGGCAAAGAGGAACCCATTCATCCATTTGTGCAGTTGAGGGGAAAAAACCTCTCCAGACACCACATTTATCTTACTTAAAGCCCAAATCTCATCAAATGGGTTTGTGAAATAAAGAAAGGAAGTATTTTAATGTAATAGTGGTGTGATATGGTGGATAAGACACCTTCGGTTCAGTAGCAGAGAACCGTTTTCCAGCAACCGGGTCATAACTGAGTGGCATTGGCAGAAAACGTATCTCGAAAGAAGGTGACCTTCATAATTTGCGGGTGAACGATCACAAATGAGCCGGTATTTTGTAGACTAACAAGCCACCACAAGGAGCACTCTTTTGTCATCACAAAGGTTGGCTGATATCCGTGGTGCTTCAAATTTATATGTTCTCTTAAGCTGCATTCCTTGGAAAAAGAAAGTGGAAGTACTAGCTACTCGTAAACTGATATAAATGTTTTTCTAACCCCTAAAATTATGTAAATAACTAAGTACTTGCCTAATTAAAGGTTAAAATGGCAAACTTTCTAATTGGTACTTTCGAAGAAGACGCTGGTAGTTTCAAAAACTTGCATTAACAAACGTGTGTTTTCAGCTCTCAATATTTCCAAGCTGTAGATTGCGAGTCTGTCGATCACTGTGATGTCTCCTGGTCGCCTGCAGTTGAGCTAATTCAGATTGGATCAATTTATGCCTGATGAAATAGTGCATTCATACACTTGTATTAAATGGGTTTACTCCAGAGAAGCTCGAATTCCCAAATGGGGTGTTTTCAAATCCATTTCTTCTAAATTATATTCTTCCTGGCCCAATGTGCAGCCATAAACTAGGCACCAAGGGAAGTCAATCTGGTCGGAGTAACCGGCACAGCTTCCCTGCTCCTCCCCTCTCCTTCAACCCTGCTACACGTCACAACCAGGTCACGTGTTAATAAACCAATAGCAGGTGCGATTTGGTAATTACTTCCAAAGATGATTTTATGCCACTGCCTCATCCAACTTTTGTTTATCGGTATCGTATGGTTTTTACTCCTTCAAAGCCTGAGGGGCCAGTTTAAGGGTGTTTTTTGGATGAACCTCGGCCCTAACACCTCTGCGCCATAAATAGGCATCTGCAGATTAAGCGCACCCGCAGGTTGTGATCGTTGCGTTTTTCTGGATGCTGGCAAGCAATAATGCGGGCTCAGTTTGTGACCTCTAAGCTATCCATATCTTTCTACCCTGGCTTCTACTGATAACATTTGTGAGTAGTACGAAACCCTCGCTGGTGGGGTTGCCAAGTCTTAAAATGAGAGACATGCAGTTTAGTATGGATACCTGACAGTTGCCGTTTCCACGCTAACTTATTTAGTGGTCTCGAGGTTAAGGAAGTCCGAAGAAGGATACTGGATTAACAGTAAGCAGCACTGAGGAGAAATATCTATCATTTGCACAAGGACACGCGCTGCTTTATTAAAGAATGATCTACTTTCTTTCAATTAGCCAATTTTTTGGAAATGCCTGTCAATAAGTATTCATGTTAAAATTCGCATTCTCAATTGACCAAAAATACTCGTGTGATTTCCGATTGACCTCACTCCTATGGGAACGTGTAAAGTACATACTCATGCCTACAAGCCAGCATTGTTGTGTAGACACGCTTTGGTCTATCTGTGCGGTATATCTTACAGTGCTTGCTTCGAGTTCTTGTATCGCAATATACTAGGAGGATACAGTGAATGTGAGAAATTGAAGAACTCCTGTTTCACAAGTCAATTTAAACTGATTTCAAAAGCTGCAGAAGAGAGTGTGACGTCAAATTTGTTGGGCGGTGTATAATGATAGTTTTGTGGTTGGTGGCAAAACACTCCAGTAATCAATGGAGTCAAGATTGTGAAGAATTTGGAAAGGAGTGATTCAAAGGGAGGTGCGTTACCAGGAGGAAATACTCAAACCTCAGATTGATGAGAATTGACACGTTGACCCCAATCTGGGTGTGGAAAGCATGACTAAGAGGACTGTTTGGCGTGAGTGATGAAACAATTTGCTTGATTCCACATCACGTGGGCAAATCGTAGCCGTGGAAGCTTCCAATCCAATGGGTTTCATCCATGTGCCATGCATAACAATGACAATTATAGTGCTTTGCGAGCCTCCATTCACCATTCAACGCACCTACTCACTCACTATTCGCTTAACCGTTGTCGCTCCTAAGGTTTGTACCACTTCATCCAAATTACTCAATGCTTGTTTAATCTGTACTGTGTGTACGTGAACGGGGCGAAATACAGAAGCAAGTACTTACTAATGTAATTCTTGTTAATAAATCTATCCACTTGATACATCTATGTTGACCTATAAAATACTGTCACTACTGTTTCAGTTCCCAAGTCGACACATCTTTTAATGCCTTCAGAGGAAACATTGACACCAACTAAATGTAGTCTTTCTCTCGCCTCGAGCACCTTTCAACTACACTAGCTTTTACAAATTTTTTGGGCTAAACCATTCCACTCGATGAGAAATCGTGTAGTTTTTTCCCATTACCTCAGACAAGCATTTCACCTCGTGGTCACAGGCTCGAGTTGACTAAGTGCGTGAAGTTCAATTTACTGGAAAATCCGAAAGCGCCTGCATTACAAACGAGTTTTAAACCCGGTTTTAAGACATAAAAATTCCATTTTAATAACAGTGGATGGCTTGCAAAGAATGAACTTCTCACTCACAATACTTCATTTGTCTTTTATCCAATTGTGCAGACACTGATCGCTGTTGTTCAGAATCGAAGAATTGTAAGGTTGGGGCATTCCCTCCCATTGATATCCGCAGGAATTGCAAATCCATAAAGGACAATTTTTTAGGAAATTATTGCATTTCAAGCATTTGCGGACTTGTGAGCATATCCACCAAATGCCTAGAATCCTTTTCCGTTCTGGTTTATAATGACGGTTTAATTTTTATTTTTACTCTCTTTTACGAATCACGTCCAAAAAAGTAATAATTTCCAATGGAAGTTATACTACACTTAACTCTCGGGCACCAAGGACCGCTGACATCTTCAGTTGGACAAAGAGAATACTGCTGACAGCGGCTTGTACTTGCAGTGTGTAATTAACATAAAGATCCTTCTGGTACCTTGCCGTTTTTCCCAAAACTTCCCTAAATGGGAGCTATTTCTAGTACCAGAACGCAATAGCAAATGAGTAACGAGTAATTCGTTTTATTAATCGCCTCCACATTCATGAGGACAAATGTTATCGCGTTGCAGTGGTTCCACAACCATTTCCACGTTATCTGATTGGTCTGGAAGAAACAGGACCAATAGGAAGCCAGGCAGACATCAGGTCATTTGAATAAGTGCCATTGTAATGCAGCCAGTGCATTCCAGACAAGACGAACAAATTCAGTTCGAACCAAAGGGCAGACGAACAATTTTCTAATAATTGGAAGAAAGGTGTAACTAGAACAGGGTGTTAAATGCGTATCCGTAAAAGATGACGATGTTTTAACATGATGTGCACCATAGTATTAAATGGATTGATTCCCGAGGTAAAGCCAACAATTACTTCACCAAAATAACATTTTCAACAGTTGCTCAAAAACTAAAAAAAGGCATTATTCTTAGATTAGGACAATCAAGCACCTTATTTATCATTCTAAACCCAAGCAATTTGCTTTAGGCGTGATTTTGTTTTAACTAGTTTTTATAAAATGTTGAAGAATGCGTGACATATATCTGTAAAGACAAACTTTGATTCAAAAATCGGAGTATCAAGCATGCGTGATACTTGTAGTTAATGTGCTTAATGAAAGTCACAGTTTCGTAATATTTAATCTGGAGCCATTCACCCAAAAACATCAGTCAAACTTATCAAAATGGAATTTCGGTAGATTCACATCCTCTTTGATGCGCTTTTCGACGACTAAGACGCCTCAGCAGGGATTTTAAAGAAGTGTTTTTTTATAAAATGACATTAAAAGGCATTAAAAATAATTTCTCTAATTAACTTTTATGATAATTCTTCATCATATTACTAGGTTTTGGGAATCTTTCCCACTATTTTCCACTTCCAAGGGTATTTTCGGACTTGCAAATTGACATACGGAAAACTCTGTGGATAGGGAATCCGTCGCCAACACAAAGTGCCAATGTGGAAGTGACTTTGTGCCCCCAGCTCACCCTCCCACAGAATGATTGTGGCAGGGAGCCGTTCCACCCTAGAAACGCCTAATAAACTTTCCAGTCACTATCAAGCCGTAATCATGCCAAACTACCAAGATAACCGACTTATTAAATTGCCGGTCTTCCTTTCTCTACCAACCTTTTAATGAGAAAATTTTTGTTTTACCATTTGCAGAAATGGTGAAATAGTAGTGTGTCTGGTGTCAATGTTCTAATTTACTTTACCCTTTTAACTGTTTTGAATAGATTGTAGATAAAATGAAGCATGCTCATCAACTTGAACACATTTTGAATTTCGTGAACCAAATGCGAATTTATTAACAACAAAATCAGCTTTCGTTGACTATTCATTTTTACATATCCCTATCATTGATGCCAAACAATGGTTATTAACCCACTAGGTTTGTCAAAAGCCTAAAACTGTAACCTTTTTCCCTATCTTTATACACTTGTGCTGTAGTGCCTCGAGTCTCTCTTAAAGCCAAAAGAAGTTATGCTAGTAAAACAGAAAATGCATTGCCGACGTAGAGAGGGCCTGAAAGGCTACAGCCATGGCCCCACGATAGCCACACTTGTCAAAAGTACAATCCCTATGCCCTAGGTGCCCGCACAAATTAAATGCACTTAAATAATCAAAGTATTACATAACCGTCCACCGCTATTGAATATCGTACAAAGCCCTCCTCTTAATAAACCCCCTGTATCGGTCATCACACCGTAGTCAGTATCGCAATAAAACCGCTTAAGAACTATAAGCGTCGGTCTTCAAGTTTACATGCATTGAGACGATAGCTGACCACAACGTCACCCATTCCACTTGGGAATTCTACCAGGTTTTGCTCCGTTTGGCAACCACTGCCTGTGGCCAGTCGTAAGAACACTGACCCAAGAGCAATGTGATTTAATAAAGGACGGTATTTAAAATAACTTTTCGAAGATTATGGCTCACGACTGTTACTCCTGGCTAGCTTGTCCTCGCTTTAGTGCTGCCCAACCGTGTCTAGCTAAGGTTTGTCAGGCTAGCAAGGAGGTAGAGGAGGCATCGTGTGTTAACTTAATATCCTTCTATAAATACCGTAGACAACTCCGTAGCGAACACTTGAGATGGTTAACAGCTGGTTTCGCTCGCTTCCTGCAGAACACGGGGCTGAAGTAGTCGGCGAAGGTAGTCGTCATTTTCAACCTATCCGATAAAAGGTACTTCACAGATTACCCCATCCACAGTATAAGCACTTCTTTCCCACATTAATGGGAATTTGGATAGCAGTCTTTTAGGATCAGATTTCCCTTTCAATGCCATCAACGCAGAGCCACGAGTCATTCATAAAGTAGAAAGAAGTCGTAATAGTAGGACTGATTGTGTATTGCTGACGCACAGGAGGTCTGAGGGGCCACTGGAATGGCCCAAAAGTCTTCCCGTCAAGCGCAATTACCATGGCGGAGCCTTGCATACCCGGATAACCAAAACGAAGAGTTTAACAAACAATAGCTGAAATCACTGAATTTTTTGCCTTGTAATGACTTACTCCAATTAATAAAGAGGCGACATCTTCATCACTCCAAAGTAACCTCTTTTGGTAATCGTTGTCATTTAATGCACAAATGCCTCAAAATCACGTGGGCGGCCAAAGGTCGTGAATTGAGGAGTACCTTTCGGACCATTGGCCCTTTGTCGGTATTACTAGCAAACCGCACGTTTATTAAATAATTACATGTGTCACTTGTTTCAAGTAGCCCATTGAATCATCACTTATTCTCATTTGCAACTAAAAATAGTTGGATTATGTGATTTTTGTTTCACTAAACTTACAATTAAAAATCACTTCATTTGTCGTCAAAATGCCTGATGAGTGGGTTCTGAATAATGCCATAATGACAAGGGCACGAAAATGGTTTGGCTGTTCTCTCAAATAGGATAGATGAAATCTACCTCACCTAGTCTACATTTCAAAATATTTTTTCATTCATTATTAAATTGTAACTTGCCTTGTTAAGTGAGCAGCTTAGGTCCGACCAATCATCGGCTCGGAAACACCCTTATCCCGAAATGCCGCTTACATTAATCCCCGCCTAATAGTGTCTGCTTTCCTCTGGGGCTCAAAGAGCAATGCTGTGAATGATTGTTCTTTAAAAAGAAATTCTTGTTATTTTGTCACACAGACAGGTGATCGATACCATTGTCCAATTAAAAGGAGACCATTAACGAGGCGCAGTAGAACGCAACGAATGACCGTCTGGCAAAGCTGTTGACATTGTAACAGATGTCAGAAAAAACTTTATTGGGTGGTGAAGCGTTTTTAATCTTCCTTTTGATAAGCGCAAATTATACTTCTGTCATTAAAATCTACTTTATTCAAGGTTCCTCCAAACTTATAATTAGCTTTCTCGATTGCAACCATACCCATTAAGAGTGATTGCGAAAATTGTAGTCGTGAAATAATCTAGAACAGTCAACTCAACTTTCGTCAGTGGTTTTGAAAACAGAACTGCAACTTCAAAGTGAAGGAGAGAACTTGAGATAAATAAAGAATTAATTGGTGTACTTAGAAGGGAGGCCTGAGCTAGTCGCTGTTATAAAACTGGAACCAAAAAAGGAAGCAGTCTTTACCATTAAATGGGATACAGACCAATCACATCCCAGCTGTTTCACTAAGCTTGACATTTACGAAATAATCCCTTTTTCCGCATCCGCACCAATGTCTAATCATATGGCAAATCTTCAGCACTTCAATGTCAGGAACCAGGATGCTTTCTCTTTGGGCTCAGAGCTTATAAATCAAAATATTTTTCCGATCTGAAAGCTGTAAAGTACAACACTGGTAACATGTCTAGCGTTCATCTCGCATCAATGATTTGTTGGGTTTAGGCTGTCCATATGAACTAGACCTACGAGGACAATCCCAGAGGTGATTTAGGGTCCCTCAACGTAACTCTTCTTCCTTACTGTAACCGTGAGGGCTTACTGTCATATCATCGTCACGGGTAACTTGAATATTACAAGAAAATGGCAAAGTACACACCTTCCAATCGCACTGTTGACTAACGATCGAGTTTAAATAGACGTTGAAATTGCATGTTGAATAAATCGTATAGAAATATGTGGAATTCCTCTGACAACAGTTTGCATGTAAAGGGTGCAAAATTCGTTATTTTAGGTGGGTCTGTCTAAAGAGTGCAACTTTTCGTTACAATTTCTGCTTTGGTATTCAAAGAAATGCGCAAAACCCGTTTACGAAGTCTACTGCCTCAATTTTTTAAAGTTGAATTATAGTGCCACTTTGCACCAACTCGTGGAACCATTATTTGTAACCTTTAGCAAATATTACGAATACTAATTTGGCTCTGCCTCCTTTTATTTCAACCCCAAATCTTGCCCTCTAGGCCAATCAGCGTCACCGGAAGAGACCGATCAACGGTGATTCACGCTCCAACACGGCAATTGGACTCGCTGTTTGGGCGGTAACTACAATGTCGGTCAAATACATGTGCTATTAATATCTCTTCTCATCTTACAATGAGTTGAAAACCACGTAAATTAATTTACATCCCAAAGTGGCGTATCTCTTTGTTCCATCTTTCTGTCTAGTCATCAATTTTAGCCGTCGTTCAGGCGATGGCACACAGCCTTGAGCGCTAACTAATCGTGGCCATGCTTGGCATCCCATAATGTCCCACTCCTATTGGTTAATGCAACCCAAGTCGTAATCAATGGCGCAAGTGATATGAGCATGCGCCAAACCCATACAATTAAATAAAAAAAAACTCTGAATTTTATGTTGGAGGTTATTTTCTTGTAGTCGGCATGAATTTGAGGTAGGCGAGGCTTGATTACTAGTTACCTAGTAGCAACGATCGATTTGGTGTCTGGATTCCATCATCTTCTAAGTTGTTTCAAAATAAAGATAGTACACTATTCTTCCCATAAATTGAGGTCAATAAATTAATACGGACATGCTAGACTGGGCATGGTTTCAGAACTTATATTTAGACTCAGTTCTTAAGTGCCCTTCAAATCGCCAAGTTTGCCCGTCAACCAATCAAAATGCGGTGACCCAATAGCCAACCAATAGAAAATCGATTTGTTATACACTGGCATGACTTTGGAAATGGACTTAAATTGGTCGATTGCCTAAAGCACTAGGCTATATAACATCTTTTCCCTCATTTTAAAATATGGCTGACATACTTTTGCCATGTAACGTTTTGCTATGGGACAGCAATAAACTTGTGCTCGAGAACACCCACCCGAAATTCGCAATGCGTTTTTGAACTTGTTAGAATACCCTAATGGGCGTTTTATGCTGTTACGAATGGGAGGGAAAACATTTAAAAAATATTTTCTTCATTTCATAAAAGGTTGTAAGAGGTGAAAGGAGAGGAATAAACCATTGTTCAAAAGACAGTCTGGTGTTTCTGTAAGGCGTGGTGAATAATCAATGCAGTGACAAATTTACCCCTTGATACCCATTTTCAGACGAATTTAAACATATTTTAGTTAAATTTAATTATCAATATCATAAAAGAGAAATATCTGTTTACATGCAGAAGGTGGTAAGGACAGTGTGATTTTTTTCAGTTTCCATTATGTGACATTCGGGTTTTACATCTAGTTACGTTGTGCACTATAAAATGAAAGAAATTAATTCGTGCGGCATTTGAAATAAAATTAAGTAACTGCGGGGACTGTCATCGTCACAATCGATGATCCTTTCGTGTCAAGTTGAGAGCCGCTGGCAGCTTCTACTCTCATAAACGGTTTCGGCCTTAGAAGCAAAGATAAAATCCAGCCCTGGCCATCTCCGGTTTTGTCCAGTTTCCAGTTCTTCATTGTCCAGCCCGTCTCGCATGCGCGCGTGCCTAATGTCAAGGTAAGGTGGTGGCAAGCACTTGATCCGCGGCGTTAAGAGGTGCTGCCCGCAAGGCACAGCGCATTTTAGAGAAGCTTATCGAATGTTTCTCGCCGCATTATGCTAATTGTTTTGTGCCATTTTCAGAGATGAGCTGCATCTTTACCTACTAGCTGATGGAATGCCAAAAATGATATTAGTTATGCGCAAAAATTCATTACTTCGATCACAAGGCCTTATGATCTTCTAGGATAAGTTAAGAGTCAACAAACTCCTGGTATTTTCCTTCTAACTTCGATTGAGATGGGTATCCCATTTCGCTTTTCCAGGTAAGTATATTCTGCGTCATTTCATTAATGGGAATGGTAGAAGATTAATTATCTGCGTCAGCGTAAGAGTAATTACTCCAATAGATTTGCCTACTCTTCTTTGAAAGAGATTGGCAACCACGTAGTCCCCGCTCAATGATCAATTTCAAAAGATAGGAGCTAAAAGCCAGTCGCTTTAGACAGAGGTAAAGTAAATAATTTTGGATCAGACGAATTAGAAATGATTAAAAATGACCAATTGCCAAAAGTTTTCACTGTTTGCGAGATACTTGGCAAATCTTAAGCGTAACAAGTTTAATGGTTGGATAAGTTACCTTAACATGATGATCCACATTGTTGATGGAGGTGACAGGACGATGTGCTCCCGCCGTTGCCAAAGCGAGGGAGGCGAACTTTAATTAAGTGTGTACCAAAATGAGTTGTTTTTGAAGGACCAATTTAGCTCGCCAGATTTTGAACACTAATTCAAGTTTGTGGAGATGGTATAAAGGTAAAAATGTGAGGAGGAAGTCCAATTTAGGGTGTATCTACAGCCATGGTGCGAAAATCCACGGTAGTAAGTTTGTCGAAGAATCAAAAAATGACTTCAGTTTGTAATTTCCCTATATTTCATAGTTACACAACCAACTCACCATCATAGCTTCATAAAGGGAAGCAACTTTACGTATTATTAAGCACCAAGACCGAATAAACCTGTATGGCGATTTAAAGCACCTGGGTTTCGGAAGTGTTTCAAGAATGATACCTACGTGGTTGAAATGAAGGGGTTGTGAGTCGTAGTGATGTTAAGCCCTACCTAGGGCAAGAACAAAGGCAGGCGCGGCTTTAAAGTAGGGTGGCAGGGCCAGGGGGCCTGGGAGAGGGAGGGGCTGACGGCGCGCCTGTTTTTAATCCGAGTGTCCCAGGCCAAGCGCTTGCATGGGCCTGGATGACTCATTCTGGAGGATTTTTGCATCGCTCATCCCCATGGCTGTGGCCTCACCTCCTCTGCCATCCCCTCCCTTCCCCCCTTCCCACCCTTACACTAACTGAGGGCGGGACCTAAGACCAACCAATGTGTTGTAGGGTTTGCCGCGGATATTCACGTTTATTTTCCATTTGTATGGGTTTCAAATTTTTTCCATCGTGTCACCTCTCCTTGAGGTTACTTGGATGGCTTCCAGCTGCCATTTGCTGAAACGACAGACCGGTATGGAAGCTAAAATTCTGAAGCCATTATTCGCTTAGATCGGCAAATTTAGCGTCACATTCATTGTTTGAGAATACAAATTTATGTGATGATGAGACACAACCAAATGGTGGTGTCTGAAAGACTTCAAAATTGCAGTTTTCACATACTACGCAACCATTTAGAATCTGATTGTACCTATTGAGAAATACATATTTGGGACTATTCGATCTACCGCGGATTTATGATTCTTCGGAGGATAGCCTTAAGTGGCTTCTTTAGAGATCATACTAATACTTTTAAGGGAAAAGAGAAAAGGCTACCAAATGCTTCTGTGTACAGATGGTCATTTTGAAATGCGTAGGAGAGTGACAGATTTACAAAGTACAACTGCACGAAAAATCTAAAAATACCTACCTGTCCATCTAGTGTCCATTTAAGTTAAAGTCACACTTAATTTTTCCCTTCTCGCCTGTTTACTCGATTAGTTGGTTGGCTGTAGCCTAATTACACAGAAGTACAATTCGACAGACCTTTCAATCCGTAAACCTTTAATGATTGGTAGTTTAAAAAACTGTTGATATAAGATTTCTACGCACAATCTTCACCGAATTATTGCGTCTATCTGTAAATGAGGAAACCGATTGTGCAGGCATTATTTTCAAGGAATTTCAACCCAAATAAGTAATTAAATAGGAACCTACAAACTAATGAAGCCAATCCGATTCCAGGGAAGGTGAGAAAACTGGGTCGCTTATTAGTAATTGGCTGTGTGATATCAAAGTTGGATGCCTTAGTCAAGACTTTTCAGTCTTTTTTACAAGATCTCCCCTCCCACAGTTGCTACTTTTAAAGTTAAATGAGTTCCACAAAAGTGGCCAATATCAGGACAGGTTCCCGACAATCGTCCTTAAGACTTGCCAAAGTTGCCTCTTGACATTTACTAAATCATGGTCATCATGGGTAGGGCATGCCTTCAGGCGAGGACCGAGGTCCTTTGGTAACGCTGGCATTAATATAATTTCCATCGCTGCTTTCCCTTTTTTTATTTACAAGGATACGCTCGTCTCCCTAGATGATTAATTCATGGAAAAGGAGCAAAAAATAGGCAGGTGAAGCGGTGATAAAATCACTAGGTCTCGCTCTAGATTTTTCTCTTGACAGTCGTAGATCGCTGGAAAAGTCACAGCGATGTAAGCGCAGTAATAGCTAAATCCTCTTATTTAGTCTCACATCCGCTGTTCGCCGATTTTAAAGCAGCGAACCAGACTAAGACAACTGTCGAAGGAAAAGAGACTAATCTGATAATTTGAAAACACTTATGATATTAAAAATGCTCAACTTATTTATCATAAAAGATAGACAACGCATATTTGCGCATTTATAAACTAGTGATTTGGAAGATCTACTAATAATTACGTTAGGATTGCAAGACGTTAATAGTTTGATGAACTCTCGGACATGCTAAGAGGCCACTTAAGAGCTCAGCCCTTGTACCTTCGCTGGGCGGTCTGACCTCAGGGCCAAGCTAGTAGCTTCCAAATCCTTCCGTAGGTCGACAATACATATTCTGCAAAAAAATTTGTCACAGTAACAAATCCCTTTAAGGGTTAGAGGAAGAATGTGAACAGTTAATGTGAAAACAAAACATCTGACTGAATGTTGAGTTTGGCTGACCCTCGACTAGGTCACAGCTGTCTTTAGCGTTATTAAAGTGACATTTGCAATTTAGTAATTCCTCCAAATAGAAACATTTAATAAATCGGAAGCTATTCACTACCTTGAAAATACACAAACTGCTTAAATATGCTACCGAAATGTGGGAAGACCGGGCTCATCCAGTCTCTAAAATCGCTTGATTATTACGGGAAACGGCTACATGGGCGGTACAATCCTAGATACGGGATATGGAAAACGACAATCAGTTGGACTGCCCGGTTTTGCGTTTTGCCTGGACACACTCAGTCCGGGTGTATTTTGAGAATTGTCAACTCATTTACGACTACGGGTAGGCACGTTCCAAAATTGTCGCAATAAAAACACCAACCCATAGCTCGTTAGAGAAAGAAAACCTAGTATTTAAAAAGTGTAAGCAAAGGACTCCCCTACACACAATGAAAAAAGGGATTTTGTGCTAAGGTTTATAATAATGCCGCCGGTGGTGAAGGTTAACTCCCAAATCTCACTCCAATACTAACAACGGTTTCAGCCAACTCTCATATGGCAGAAGCAAGGAATCAACAAGA